CAAGTATCGGTGCCTTCAAATGCTGTTTTTCTTACTTGTTAGGAGTTTATGATGTCTTACTTGCGCCAATTATATGAACTATGTAAATTTTGTTTCAGGACTGATTTATACTGAATACTTCTAATATTTGTTGATGAGCATATTCATCTGGAATTTTAATTGAAAAAATGGTTCTTTTTCTCTGTCTTAGGAGTGCTGGAATGTCTGAAGGTGTATGAATTTGCACATGGGTAGAAGATTCTAGATTTGTAATTAACCAAATGGCAACTATTTTTTCTGTACTGTCACTTTCATCTTTCCCTGTTTCCTTTTATGTTAACTGTCTGATTCTTTGGCTCGATGATCCATATAATGTTCCTGAAGGGTTATGATGACTTATTCTTCTGATATTGCACACTAATATTTTGGGCCCCTATTTATTTATTTTTATTGAGTAATGGAACACTTAATGATTTGTTTTTTATATCATTCATACTATAAACCGGAAGTTGTTCTTTTGTGTTTGTATTGTAGTAAGATATTTGATTTGTTCTAAGTTCTTTGGAAGTTAGAAGAAGTTTTTGTAGAACGTTTTTAAGCTTATTATGAATACTTATAATTATTTCCAAGATTTTGATATTTGTGTTATTGTTACCTAGAACTGGTTTTGAGGAGGACAAGAATTTCCATGTGGTATTAAATTCTGTAATAGCCGGACGCTATCATGTTACTGAATATCTTGGGTCAGCTGCATTCAGCAAGGCTATACAAGCACATGATTTGCACACAGGCATGGATGTATGTATAAAAATTATAAAGAACAACAAGGATTTTTTTGATCAGAGCCTTGATGAAATAAAGCTTCTAAAATATGTTAATAAGCACGACCCAGGAGACAAATACCACCTTCTACGACTATATGATTACTTCTACTATCGGGTAAGTGCTGAATGGTAATGCATGTAAGTCAGTGGTTGATTATTTTTTTCCCTTGTCTAATCATATTTAGTCGTTTGTAGTAATTGTTATTAAATAATCCCTCATATTTCCAGGGTGTATGAAAGGCATATAGTGCCAAATTAGCATTTATTGCCATTTTTTATCCTTAAAATTGTCTCAATAGGTTTTAATGATTGGTTAAATTCCCCTCTTCCCCTCCAGGAGCATCTGTTAATTGTGTGTGAACTTCTGAAGGCAAACCTATATGAGTTTCACAAATTTAATAGAGAATCAGGAGGTGAAGTCTACTTCACCATGCCAAGATTGCAGGTGTGTGAAGGTCAATAATTTTGTAAATTTTTTTTTGGGAGTGGTATTGGCCTAAACCAATGAAAATTGTTCTTTGCAGTCAATTACAATACAATGCCTGGAGGCACTACAGTTTTTGCATGGTCTTGATCTTATACATTGTGACTTGAAGCCTGAAAATATATTGGTGAAAAGTTACAGTAGATGTGAGGTGAAAGTTATTGATCTTGGAAGTAGTTGTTTTGAGACAGATCATCTATGCTCCTATGTTCAATCTCGATCCTATCGAGCCCCAGAGGTTATCTTGGGACTTCCATATGATAAGAAGATCGACATATGGTCTCTTGGCTGTATCTTGGCAGAACTTTGTACTGGCAATGTAAGGTTACTCAACCACTTTTTTCAGCATTGTTTGTTATACTTCTCAAGGATTAAACGTTTATATATTTTCTATTCAGCAAAGAGAGTAAGATTAAAGAAATTGCTAAGATGAGAAATATACCTTAAAAGGGTGATCAGACAATGAAAATTGTCTTGTTTTGTTGTGAAAATTCATGCAAATAAGCCTTCAAATATTTTCTAACTTCAGAATTAACAATCTCGAAGCCTTTACGATGGAGTTGAAAATCTTGACACAATTTCCTTCTCACATCATCTAGTGGTTTTTACATATTTATGCTGAACAATAGCATAGTGTAGGGCATTCAAGTTTCCAAAATTACATAATAGCTTTTGAACATCTCTTGTAAGCTCTTCACAATTAAACAGTTAGCCTAAGAGGAGCCAAAGCAAGCAAGAATTTTCTCATGATACTTCACTTGCAGGTTCTGTTTCAAAATGATTCTCCTGCCACGTTACTTGCTAGAGTGATCGGAATTATAAGTCCCATTGATCAAAGTATGCTTGCTAAGGGACGAGATACATACAAGTATTTTACCAAAAATCATATGCTGTATGAACGAAATCAGGTAAAAATGTGCTCTATCTTAAATTGTATCGTTGACTGTGTTACGAAGCCTCATTTTTCTTCAAAGCCATTCATTTAGTTCTCAACTATTCTGCATAGTATGTTAAAGGTAGATGAGATGGTTGTTGCAGTTTTTTGTTACGCACATGCAGTTTCATGTTTTCATATAGTTTTACTGCTTATTTTTCCTAGACCATATACAGAATGAACTTTTATAATGAGGTGAAAATGTGATGCAATTATTTAGAAAATTGGCTCTATCACATTAGTTAATTCAACTTTGTCTAGATCTCTTTTTAGGATCAAATTATTTATCTACTTTATTTATTTTATTTTTGCTGTGAGTGGGAGAGTCACGATAAATAATAATAGAAAAACTTGCATGAATGCATGCTCCTGGAGGGACCTAATCGTTTAGGACAACATATGTCTATCTTCTTCCTACTCACACCTTGCATCAAACAACCAAAAAGAAGAAAGAGAGAGAAAGAGAAGATAGTCCCGAAAAAGCACAGAACATCCAGTGGCAGAAAAAGAGCCTTCCCTTCACTGAGGACTGCCCTGAGTCATACCAGATGATCTCGTTAAGATTAGGAAATGTCAAGAATAGTCTGTTTTGTTGCAATCCCTAATAAAACTAAGTTGGATAAATTTCAGCGAATGATTCATGAAGGTAAAATTTTCAGTGATAAAGAACTTCCTGAATAAGTCCTAACACGTTGAACACCAATCTATCTGGGAAATCATTAGACATTGCCGCGCAAGAGCTCAAAGCAATGCTGGTTAACTAGGTTGGCCTGAGATCGAGGTTTTTTCCTTTTAATGCATTTTGCTTTGTGTTTAATGATATACTTTGGCTACTTTCGTTAAGAAATAAGTAATTATGAGATTCCTAATACATTCTTTGTTGGACGTATATGTATTATGTCTGTTGCATGTGATTTTGGTGCTCGGTTGTTTTTCTTTTCACTTCCCTGGCCAAATTTCTGAGGTGTTTTATTTGGTCTGTACCCCCATCTGTTTGATTAAAGATCAGATCACGAACATTAATTTTAAGGGTATTGGATTTTATGTAGCTCATGATTTCTGGACGCCCTTTAGTATTCTTTATCCAATTAATAGACATGATAGTATCCATTTGGTTAGCTTGGGCAACATTCGTGTGCTAACTGAGTTATGTTTGGAATTCTTTATTGTTTGTTGAAAGCCTTGATGCCATGATGACATTTTATTTTAAAATTCACTTGATTTACCTTGGCAAGCAAAGAACGTTTGCCCTGTACTTCTGTTGGGCCGTTCAATATCCTTTGAATTACTTTTTCACGCTGGTGCAATCCTAACTACCTTTATTCTATAATTTCCCTCACCTGTCTTTCTTTCTCCTTTCTTTCCTTTTTATTTTTTAATTGACACCTACGATCGGGTTCTTGTTCATGTTTATCACGTCATTTTACACAAATTTTCATCTTTTTCCAGGAAAGCAATAGACTGGAATATCTCATACCGAAAAAGACATCGTTAAGGCACCGATTGCCAATGGGGGACCAAGGTTTCATCGACTTTGTTGCCCATCTGCTTGAGATAAATCCCAAGAAACGCCCTTCTGCATCAGAGGCACTTAAACACCCATGGCTATCTTATCCTTATGAACCTATTTCTTCATGAACCATCATCTGAAGTAACTTGGTTCTGATAATATATTAAAGCTGCCCTCATGATTGTAGTTTATTGGCTTTTCAAGCAGGATGGAGCTGCATGTGATTCATGGTTAACTTGGTTGGCTTTACTTACTGATTTTTGAAGGGATTTTTGCACTTCAAATTTCTTCCCAATCGAATGAAAAGGTTTGTTCAGCTTTTCTTGTTGTACCGAACTTTTTACCCCCACACCAAGTTGTCCCCTATTTAACCACAATCGAAATGTAGTTTTTGATGACTTATGTATTCTTGGGGTTTCTTTATTTTTATCGCTTTGGAAAAGGGGGCAATCTTGTTGTAAATGTGTGATAATTCTTTAGGTTATCAGTCATATTTTGCTTAAGTTCTTGCTTATCCAAATTTGAAGCAAGGTCAATAATGCTACGTTAGAGTATTTTTAGTCTAAGCCTTGCGACCCTCTGGTTCCTTTGGGTCTTCCTTTTGTTCTTGTATCAGGATTCAGTCTGTCGTGAGTGTCTGTTAGACTTATTAGGTAGTAGGCCTTTTACTGCAATCTCTAGGGTGTCTGGTGGCTGAAGAAATGAGTATCCCACGTTCATATTGATACTGATATTTCTAAATGTGACTACAAATATCAATTCCCATTTTCCCCCCCATTAACTTTTTTGTGCTGTGACATTGAACTCCAAGTTGTTTACGACACGAATTGACGACGATGTACTAAGACAAATTCTGTATATAATTCGTTTTTGACACGGAGTGTGTTTGTTTGTGTGGTTTCTCTTTTCTTCACAGGTGATTTCTTTAGATCAATCAAACGATAGAAATGATGAGAACGAGAGATACAATTTGAATTCTTTGTGGGATTTTGATTAGTATTTTATTGAATTCGTGTGTTAGGAAATATCAATATCGATGTCTTAACTATTTAGTTATATTCGTGTCTATGCTAAGAATTTGATCCTAATAGTTTAGACCATTACAAGTTATCCCTTTTTTGGATTATTAGTTTAATCTTTTCATTTTTAGTATGTGTTAAAAGATAACGAGTTATTATAAGTTAAGCTTTAGCGTGTGGATGGACTAATTACAGTCGAGGCTACGAAGCCAAGTTCAGTTCTAGGGTTTAGTACTTAGTTTTAGTGACATTCACAAAATATATCATCCATTATTGACATTCCTTCGAAATAAGCAATAAATGGTATAACTAAGTAATTTAAGAAACATGTTGAAGAAGCTTAGTTAGGAGATAGAGGTTTGGGCAGCTAAGAAATCAATGAATGGAACTACCTTCTCCTCATCCTTGTGGGTTCCTCGAACAACAACGTCATGGCTGGTGTAGGCGGTTGTGGCAGCTTTTTGATTAACTTCTTCATCATCTTTTCGATCTTTTCTCGAGTGGTCTGTCACTTCACTTCCATTAATAGATTCTGTATTCAAGTGGAGAAAGTTGTAAAAATCCACACCTTGATGGCTATCTGTAACACAAACGTGCCATTATGAGAGATATTGTCTCCACTGGACGAGGCTTTTCTAAAAAAATTATTAAAATAGACAATATCATACCATTGTGAATATCGATTATTCCTAACCTAGTCTTGACGCGGTGTTTGGAGGCCCGTCTGGACGTTCGAGCCCGGATGACGTGCCAATGATTCTTGACCGCATTGTCAGTGCGCCCAGGGAAAAGCCTAGAGATGATGGCCCATCTGTTGCCATGAATGGTATGCGCCGCCAACAGCCTCTGGTCTTCCTCTTGGGTGAAGGGGTCTCTGTTTATGCGAGGATCCAACTGATTAAACCATCTCAAACGGCAGCTCTTTCCTGAAGGGAATAAAAACAATGAGATGGGTATTGTAGATTTAATGAAGAACATATAATTTACCCACCGGATCTTCCTTGAAGGCTTTGAGCAATGGCGTTCCAGTTATGAGGGCCATGTCGCTCCACCAGCTCCTGCAGCTTGTGGTCTTCCGCAGGGCGCCAGTGACCTCTACTGTGTGTCACGGTCATGCTCGTCTAGATCCAGAAGGGATTGCCTTCCTTCCTTCCCTGATCTAACAATTAATAAGAAATCCAAACCAAACCAAACCAAACGCACAGCTTGGCTTGGCTTGGTTGCTTCCTGCGCTCAATTTCCCTCTGCTTTCAACGTCTTTCTAACCTACAAACCAAACGCACAGCTGATTGATTCTCAGGTTGGATGTACTTTTCATAACCCCTTAACCACCCTTCCTTCTTTGCTTTCTATTTCTTCTTCACCATCTCTGTGTTATCAATTTTTATAATTATGTACACATTTCATTCGTTTATTTGGTATCGTTTATAACCGTGTATCCTATGCATGTCATTTGGTAGAATACAATTTTCTAAAGCTCGGGTTGACCAAGATTTAACTTTTTTGTTTTCGAAAATTAAAGTTATAAACACCACTTTTACCTATCAAGTTCTTTGTTTTGTTATCAATTACTTATCTTAAATATTTTCAAAATCTAAGTTTGGAAGATTAAAAATAAATAAATGTAGTTTATCAAATTTAACTAAAAATTCAAATGTTTCTTAAAAAAAAGTATACGAAATTATAAGAAAACAAACTCAATTTTCAAAAACTAAAAGAGAAAAGACCAAAAGAGAAAAATGATATGAAAATAAACCTAATTTTTTAAAAATAATTATCAAACGAGTCTCAAATAACCCTTGGTTGTGATATCACAAACTCACAAGTACTCTATCCGCTAAAGGTAATCTGAAAGGTAGATAAATATATAAGTAAATTCTAAAATGAAAATGCTAAATAATGAACTAATAAAAATAAATAAAATAACTAAAAAAAAGAATTATATTATATTATGTTAATTATGTAAATTGTGAAATGGGAGAGAAGAGGTAGTTGGGAAATGGATACCAAACCAAAACAACAAACAGACACCTTCATTAATTAATTGGTTTAATTAGGCAGCAAAATGAGTTTTAATTAGTTTAATTAATTATAATAATGCTTATAGCAACCCCCATCATCTAATACAAAATAAAACAAAGCAAACTGTGGGAATATTAGGTAACAACAAACCCTCACTCTCTCTCTATACATATATATATATATATATCTCGAAACCTCGTACCTAATTTATTATATCCATTTTTGTGTAAATTAATAATATTTATTCTTTTATATCATCCAACAAAATGCTTTTTTGTGGTGGTTTTTAAAAATTGATTAAATAATAACAAAAATAAAAACATGGTTAAAAATGATATTTAACAACTTCCAAGAAAAGTGGAGTGAACGGAAAATATGTACGTACGGGGAAAGGAAAAACAAACATTCATACAGTTTGCTTTCATTTTCCAATACGATATTCAGCTAAACAAGTCAAGTTTCCAATCATTCTAAGAACAAATCATAAATAAAAAGATAAGGGTTGTTAGAGTTCCCTCCCTCCGTGGAAAGAATTGTGTGGGCATTTGCCTAAACCAACCAGACCTATCAACCATTTGACAAGTCGTCTCAAAACGGATACCAACTAAACTAAACTAAACTAAACCACCTGCTTCACAGTTCAGCAACCGAACTCGAAAAAATAGTTGGATGTTTACAACTTCTGTCTCACTCAACTCTCCTTTTTCATTCTTCATGTAATGTAAACACAACAATCATGGTAGCTTTTGGGTTCGTTGTTGATCATTACGCCACGCCATCCACCGTTACAAGTCGAAGAAAAGAATATCTACTCTCAGATTTACAACTATACATCTAAAGGCTATTGATTCTACAAACAAGTTTCTATTAGATCTTATCATCAGCTAACCAGTGGTATTCTTGATTTGCACAATGCAACTCCCAAGATGAAGAATGATGCTATAAGCTCTCTTTCAAAATTTGATGAGTTGTTATACCTAATAAAGGAGTGGCCGCTTTGAATCTGGCTTATACTTTGCAGTGATTTACAAGGCAGATAATTCAACTTCTTGATTGCAAGGACGATATGCCACAAAGGTGCTGTCATTGGTGAAGGAACCGGGATTGAAGCAAGTGATTCCTGTGTATTTGAATGCTTGTTGCTTACTTCTATCCCCCAGAACTATCTGCACAAGCCAAATAAAAGTTTATGCAATGAATGCAGTTCAGTGACAGCAGAACATTATCATCCATCTGCAGTGACTGTTCATTATCTGTCTCCAATTTTGTGGATAAGTAGATCGTTTAAACACTAGCTAGATTCAGATATATATAGGTAAGTACCACATGAGGAGTAGGATAAAGATGAAGACAGTGGTCATAATTCCAGATAATTGGTTGAATAACCAGAGGAAGAGGGCAGAGATGACTTTGATGAGTTATGGTAGCAACAAGCTGCAAGAGAATCATGAAACAACCTTAGGGCCTCCACATATAAATATCTAAAAGAGCTAGAATTAATATACAACAAATAACTAGACAAAATAACAGATATATATAAGGAAGAAAAATCACATGTTCAAAAGGATCACTTGTTTCTTCTGTAGATGGCGGTATGAGACAGGAACGACGCATTCTGTAAAGTAGGTCCTGTCGGAAAAATACAATTTCTTGGGTGTAGAACCTAACCCTGCATCCAAATATGACAATTATCCACCACTATAGAGTAAAAGGGGCACGTCATTCACCAAAGAGAACATAATTTCCACTGAAATTGGTTAAGTTGTTTTTAATCAATTCAAAATACAAAAGAACCTATAGGGACCAAAGTGGACATTTTGAAAGTTCAAGAACTAAAATATTATTTGAACTTTTTTAATGATCTTTCAAATGAAAACTATTTAGAGGGTAAAAGTTACAGTACATTTTCGAGTTTAAGATTAAAATTGCAACACTTATTTAAGTTTGAGGTACAATTTGATGAAACTAGAGATTTAGAATGAAAATTGATATTAACAAGTTTGGAGGTAAGAATTAATTTTTTTCATTCGAATCTTTAAATACAATTTTGTTGCCAAAGGGAAAAAAAGATTCATTTCTAATGTTATCTGCAGAAGTGAAACCCCTCATGGAGTATCATACTACAGCGAAAGACTAGGACGACCGTTAGGTTTATAAGTAAGCAATCGAAGTATTCACCTGCAAGGGTTACTTGAGAAGATGGCATTTGGGACGTGCATCTGAAGCTCTTCGGTTAAATACTTGGGCAAAGCACACCTGGGTAAAACTGTTGATGGTCCTATAAATTCAATGGGAAGAAAAATTAAGAAATTTTCATGTATATTTAAGCAGAAGGCGAGGAACTTATTTACAAATAACTACACAAACCTGCATCATCTGGACCAGGAATAAAAAGAAACTTGCTATGCTCTTTTAACCGTGGACGAGCTGCTATCATTTTTCCTAGCTTACCAAATTGTAATCTGCACACACAAACTCATAATGTCTCTTGAACTCATGTCAATAACAGCCAATGCATGCAGAAAACAATTGTGACAATACTTACCTGAGACTTGAGTAAGAATTGAAGGCAAGATTACATGGACGGGAACAAAAATTCCCCATCAAAACAAACAAGGAAGGAACAATTTCCACATTCTCAAACCCATCAAGAATTGTCTCCAGTTTTCCCATGGCCTACCAAATGAACAAATTCTGTTAAGGCACCAAGCTTCACAGACACACAATGCACGTAAAATATAAAGAGGTTATTCTTCACCTCTTCACTATCCAACCAAATGTCAGAGAGTATGACAAACATATCGTTAACGGCTCTCTTTTCCAGATCTGCAAGCCTGAGCTATTGATGATTAAGGGCAACAAGTTGATTGCATTGGATGCATGTGCGTACACCACTTTAATAGCCAAAATTCAGTATAATAAAATATCAACAAAAAAGCACATCAATCCAGTGCATGCATATTAAAAGATCCTTTTCATAGGGATACAGTCTCCTCTTTAGTCAGAGAACCACCTCCAAAGAAGTCCTGGCCTGCTAGCAATTTAAGAGACTTGTCCCTGTCCTCTAATGGAGGAAATCCACATGTAATAACCTTAACAAAATACCCCCAAAAAATCAGCACATTATTAATATGAACGGTATTTGAAATATACTATGAAACAAGTGCTGAACATCTTCCAAAAAGTTTCAACAGGTATCCTTGTGCTAGCTAGCAAGTGAGAAAGTAAATCACAAGAACAAAGTCCCAAGCAAATTCAACTTTTAGAAGGTAGTACTCATGGATAAACGAAGGAAAATTGCACCTTCACCTTCAGTTTTGTTCTAAATTTCAACCTTCAGAGAAGAGTGTGAGCAGAATTTGCCCAAAGAAACAAAAATATGTTTAAGAAAAGATTTCAAATCTTTGTGTAACCTTAAGTTCTGGTATACCTAACGAAATATTAAATATCTAAACAAAAGGTGGTATTAGGCACTTGCCTGAGAACTACATGAAATATAACTGAGTGAGGAAAAACTCCTATCAGGACCAAACAGAACTAAAATCCATACCGTAGCATTATATGATGATTATCTCATAAGCATGTACGAACTTTGGAAACTATTTGAGTCCATAAGGAATTTAATTCAGGCTATTTTCAGTGGCATTATAAGAACAAAAGGCCAGCCCCTTTCGGTTAAAGTGTCCTAATTTCTAAGTTTATGTTTAAAAGGACATATATGATGTGCAAAGACGTTTTTCTAAGTAATCAAGTATTTTAAAATAGCAGAAATTGTGAGACTCTGAAAAGCAAGCTGAGAAGTACACATTAGCAAGAGAACATTGGACGACCAGTTGAAAAAAATAGCATTCTTTTTATATATTTATGAGCGTTAGAACCAACTAGTATGAACAAGTTCGACAACCATATGCCTCTGCTACATTAGTTGTCATGGTAACATATAAGATATTAAATTCTAGGTAGGTAGCCACCATAACTTGATCGCATTTTATTATTCACATTAATCTTCATTACCTACTAGATAAACCCATGATAATTTGGTAGAGAAAATAGCATAATTAATGCAACCAAAAGTTTATAAGAAAGCAAGGTCTCTCACTCTCTCTCTCTCCCCCCCCCCCCCCCCCCCCCCCCCCCCCCCCCCCCCCCCCCCCCCCCCCCCCCCCCCCCCCCCCCCCCCCCCCCCCCCCCCCCCCCCCCCCCCCCCCCCCCCCCCCCCCCCCCCCCCCCCCCCCC